AGATCGCTAGCGTTCAGCAATTTTTTAAAAACAGGAGCTGCTCAAAATTTCAATCCATATCGATTGGAGTCACATCGCAAAAATCCAATATTGCCGGTGTCTTTGCTAGTCTCCCTGCGTAATTAGGTGTCCACGTAGCACAGGTCTCGACATGTGCTTTCCAGTTATCAACAGCTCACCGTGCCCGGCCGCCGTGCTGCAGGTAGCGATTGTACAAGGTTGGCGCCGAGGATGTCCGACAGCGGGTTGTCGCTAAAAATCGACCTCCAAAAAAATTCGTGTAAAACAAACCCAATAACGTTAGATGGTCTTCGGAGCCGAGCGCTTCATGTCAAAAAGCCATATCTTGAAGGCAATGCGTGGCGTGCAGGTGAGGAGAACTTCTGCTGGCTTGCCGAGCACCGCCTGAACGAAATTAACAATACCCAGCCTTTGGGATCTCATCAAATACCGTATATTTCCAGTCCCTCCCCATTGGTCTTGGAGTACATCGCCTCCAGGCAGGTCAAAAAGCTGCCGTGACCAATTCCTAAAAGTGTTCAACACATACAAGAAAATTAGTAACCTCGGCAAATTGACGCCCTTCTCGGCCATCCACACCATGTCGACGTTGCGAGGCGAGCAGCGGCGGATTCGAATGGGTGACGTTGCCACGCTTGTATTTGAGGCCGGCTAAAACATGCTTTGATTCCAGAGAAAGCTGACTATTACCGGGATCGCCGTCCGTGATCAGCACGTCCAATAGGAATTGTAACGCCGATTCCCAGTGCAGCGGTTCGCCCAGAAGGACGATAGCTAAAACAAAATATCCGTAAAAAGCCAGAAAGTACTTAGTCTGGCTCAAGACATTTTAAACCATAAAACCAACCATCGATTGGGGCGAAATTTTTAGGTGGCGACCAGTTCGGCTCCGTCGAATCGCTCGCCCTCGAGAAGTCAACGCAGTCGAGGTGGGGAATAAACCGCGCAGGTCGTCGAGGGTTATTACATTGTTGAACCCAAGGCTAGAAACCAATTTTTGGGCTAAGGCTGAAACACCTACTTTTAGAGCCATGGTAGTTACAGGCCCCTGGCCGACGACGAGCACGTGCTTGTCGTGGAATTGCGTAAACATCCTAAGCGGGGCTGTGCGCCATAACTACTTGTTGCGGCCGAATCCACAAAAACATAAATTTTTTCTGGATCAAGGAAAAACTAGTCCCTCTATTCCTAAGTTCTGTGGAAAGACGTTGCGCCTTGGCTGCCCGTAGTAATTTGAACCGTTCGTGAGGAAAACCTAAGAAAAAGTTCACCAATTCGGAAGCAAAAACCTCACCGTGGGAATTTGAAAAGAGCCGTTAGCATCGGTGAGCAATCGGAAGGCGTCTGGTACCCGAGGAAGGACATCGCGTCCGCGCAGCAGCACGCCATCAATATCAAGTACAAGGCCAAAAGGCTTTCCCTAAAAAAGAGATACTATTTTCTTTAAATGGAAAATCTCATGCCTCCGGGGGATAGGCCGAGTGCTCTTGGAGCATGTTGGGACCGCTGTAAGAAGCCGTGATGTCCGCAAAAGGCGGAGTGCGCAGCGACTGTTCATCCCCTTCTTATAGAAGCATAGTGCGCATTACTAAAATCAGCAATTAATTGGGATATCTAACGTAAAACGTAGAACGAAAAGGTTTCCCAGTCAGGCAGCCATCAAAGAAAGGTCAAAGATGCGCCATAAAATCCAGCCGATAAGGGGAGTCTCGTCTCGAGCCCCGTGACGGGTCGGTAAATCCTAGAGCTTCTACAGCATTTGATTCCCGGTCTATGTCGAAAAGGGCATCGTCTCACGGCGCGGACCGCATAAAATAACAGTTCAGCCTCCCGGAAAAACAGATCAGCGCCAGTTCAAGCAGCGTTGCGCCGAAGGGTCGGCCCCACCCTCGATCAATCGCCCAAACTCGTTTCCGATCACTGGCACCTTCTCCCCGCAAATCTCGCCGACAAATCTTTTCAAAGGCATTGAACCTGCTTTACGAAAATAGCGTCAGACCCTATAACCATTTGGCGCGGCACGACAAAGGCAATGGCGAGCTATTTATTAGCGACAAAACCACAAGAAACAACATCGCGAGAAAATAGTGGAGCTATGCATTTGAAGGGGATGGAGTGGAGAGAAGGCGAAAATTTTGGTGTGAGAGGGCACATAACAAGACAAGACGATCGTCTACAGGGTGAAGGACAAGTAGGGGAGGAAATGGCGTGTTATGTTTTCTTTCTGATTTTAGCCCGGCCAATCGGTCTCCCCGGCCGGTGCAGGCTAGCCAACCAACAACGAGACGCAGGGAACGAGAGTGGAGGGAAAAGAGTCAGCTGGTAGGAGGGGGGAGGGCCAGCTGGCATGAAAAGAACCTGGGAGGCGGTTAGAGTCAGAACCCGCGGGGATGATGTGCCCCCAGCAGAGCCCACAATTTTTCGGAAACGCCAATTTAAAGCCGAGAGCCGGGGGATACTTTTGCGAACGGGCCATGAGAAAGAGACGGCTCCTCCGGCTACACAGAAAAAACAGCAGCGCCATCACCACAGGAGGGTGTGCGACGATAAATAGCAAAAATTTAAGATTGAGCGAGAAAAGAGGTACTGGAGGAAAATAAGAACAATAGAAACAGGGATGAGGATCACATTTGCGTCAGCGCGTTACCCGAGAGCCGGTAGTGTAATTCGTAACGTTATTCTAAAAAAAGACGATAAAACTTAGAAAATGTGGCTCACCTAGATTTGAGTAACATCTATGGTACCATTGCTATCGAGGAATTCCTTCCAGCTAACATTCAAGTCGCTCGTTTTGATCAACGTCATCAAAATGAAGCATTCTCCAGAAGCCGGTTCCAATATCTGAAAGAACGACAACTTTCGTCAATAATCAAGTTGCCTAACCTCGAATTCGGCGCTATCTGGGTTGATCTGCGTGGGGGAATTGCTTGACTTCACATACAAAGTTTCCGTGCAGTTCGCGTTCCCTTTCTTCTTTCGCTTCATAGTTTCCACCTGAATCAAGGAGCGTTAAAACTTTCAAGAAGAACCTTTCAAAAAGAAGTTGAAAGCTTGAAATAGCAATACCTCGAGAACGAAGTTGAGGCCATAGTCCTTCAGATCAAATTTGGTGAATTTTCCATTGCTCAACAAACGAGAGGGAGACGACGGCTAGAATTCAAATAGAATTTTTAAAGGAAAAAATCCGCACCTTCTTGAATATCTTGATGATGTCGCCAAAAAGCTCTTGCGCCTTTTCAATCCTTGGGCTTTGAGCATCAATTGGACCTAAAAACACAGTTGTAGAACCGGAAGTTCAGAACGCGTAGAAGTGGCCTTATTGACGAAATTTCAGAATGACCAACCTTTGTGCCGGTATCCTTTAAAATTGACACTGTGACGGCACGGGCGCTTGGGTCTCCTTCGCTGCTTTCGCTCGATTTTCTAGACATCGTCGTCTCTAAAAAAAGGGGTAAAATCTGAGACAGAAAAACGAGAATCAGAAAACATCAATCAAGAAAAAGGTTTGTCATGGTGAATCAATGGCGATGCGCGAAACGGTCGCTAGGGTGCAACAAGGGGTCATAAAGGGGAACGTGTATGGGGCTTTTACTAAAAGATGTGCATCCATCCGCGAGGATCGTTACGAAGCGACCTTCCCGAAGAGGCATCTGGCCAGACCAGCTGGTAGGGCTTCCATAAAGCCGCTGGTAGTGGCCTATTAGTCACGCAACCTTCCAATCAGTTTTATCGGTAAGAAAATGGCAAAAATGAGGACATAAATCGAATAGGACGCTCTATATACTAGGATGGCTTCAATTTATAGCTGAGGGTCGAGCTCCCGGAGGCCGGCTCAAAGTAGCATCGATCATTATACCGATTCCGCAAACAACGATCGATTAGTACAGGGTAGCTATTTGGCAACAACTAACTGACCCCGACAAAGAAATGCATCCAGGCCAGGCGGCTCCCTGAAATCACTTTCTTCAGGGCTGTCCCCGGGGAGGAGGGCCTGATAGAATTCAATATCCGGCCCAGCCGGCCACCGACATGCGGGGGCCCCTTTCATGCCAAGAACGAAGAGGGGCCCCCCGAGGACAGCGCATAAATCATGAAGGCGTACACCAGCACGGGCGCTAAAGAAAATGGTTAGTCGTTCGTGATGAAATATCGGTTAGAATAGCCGACCCGATTCAACACAAGTGAACTCGAAACCAGGCCGCTGCGCATTTCGGATGCATTAGGGCATTAGGGACGGTCGAGTGAGGTAACGGGGCCGGGGCCGGAACAGCGCTACTTTGCCAGCAGGAGGTCGTCAATAATTACTAAACACATGTAGCTTTTCGTTCTCCACGTCGGCCCTTTCGGATAGGAACTAGAAAAACTAAAACCATGAAAGGCCGAGCACGAAATGACCGCATCGATGAACCTGTATCGAGTGGTGTCAGTCGCAGCGCCTCTCAAGTACCCAACCCCCAATGAATCCCGCCGAATGCAACCCGAGACCAGGGCCTGCGCAGCATAAGCGAGCAATGTGCTTCAATTCTTCTCCAAACTAAATATGAAGAGCGTCGGGAAGAATGGAGGACGGACCTATGAGTCATATTGCCAAAATATCAACCCACCCTAACGGTGGCTCGGCCTTTCGGGAGCACGATGAATCATTGAAGCTGACGAAATCGATCAACAGGCTAAAGTAGCAAGCTAAAAAACAATAGAATTTCGATTGAAAGGTTTGGGGGCCGTTTATAGCGAAGGCAGTACGGACAGCGAAAGTTCGGTTTGTACAGAGCCTTGTGGTGACGAAAAGTATAAACCTGCACGCAAATATCAACCAGGACCAAACAGCCTACAGCGACGGTCGGACGAGCATTGTTCACGCCCTATTGATTTAAGCGGACAGAGAAGCCCAGTTGTGCGTTTGAAGCTCGGAGCCAGGACACGCGAGCCGCATGAAATCGAGTAATTAGCCTCGTCACAGCAAAGTGGCGAGTGCGAAGATACAATTTGGAAAGGCGCTTGTCGCAATGTTAGTTTTGAACGAATCGCTTCCAGCCGTGTGAACAGGCATCGAAGCGTGAAACGTGCTAGAAAGATGGATGGCCAGGTACCTGTTACAACCGCTATAAGGGGGCCTCTCAGCTTGTCGCAAGAGAGTTGACTGGGTCAAGCCGGTTGTCCCTAGGAAGACACGAGGCTGATTAACAAGAGTTTTAGTTGCAGCATCCCCCGCTAAGGCAAGGCAAGGAAAGTGATTGTGCCATGAGTAATAGGGAGGACAAAAAGGGTAGGTTCCACGACCCTAACAGGATTAGCCGGATGTCTTGGTGCAAAATCGCGCAATGGGTCGGTTCATCATCAATCAAGCCTGGGGCTGCCCCGCCTTCCTGCCAGTCACCCCGCCCCAACCGGTCGCCCATTTTTCAAGGGGCCACCGCACTGTCACCACCATTTTGGGGCACACCTGAGTAATTGGTTCCCGGGGCGTAAATGGGGCTCGATCGCGTCGGGCGATAACGATTCCAGAGTTAGTGGTGACAGAGTAGGTCATTCGCCCGAACCCATCCCAGCCACCAATTGAGCACGAGCGGTTGAAAACAGTCGACAGAGCTGCAAAAGGTTTGCACAAGATTTCGATAGGCTAGAAAGAAATAAGGCTCCTACCGGGGAATGTGTGAATAGGTGTCGATGCTCAATAGGGGACGTGAGGATCCCCCTCGGAGGCAATTACCCCCAGCAAGCATTCATACAGCGCTGAGTGTGCAATGGGTCTGCCTGCCGCTCAAGGACGCCGGAGGAAACAACAAGAGATGTGGTATCCCAGATAGGTATCATGGCACCGCCCACAACGTTGGTTCATTTCGTGTGACCAGATTAGATAGACGCCAAACATTTATTCAGAAATTGTAAACAAAACGTGGTTAGAGTAAGATGTCGGTGTTCTGTAAAGTAACAAATACGTGTGGAGAAACAGCTTGGCTTCTATTCCATTTTCATTGAGGAGGCCTTCATATACTCATCGAGCTGGCGGTCAAGTTCTTCTTGGGACAGCTTCTTGGGACCGCGACCATCGTTGCGCCGCTTCTTCGGACTGGCTTGCTCCGGTGACGTTTCCTAAACACAAATGAAAGCTGTAGAGTAAGTCAAACCCTGTGGTCATGTTCATCCATGAAACGATTCGTACGTGAAGCGGAGTGCTTCTTGATGCGCCCGGTAACGGAACGACGCAGTTTGCCGCCGGTCGCTTTACGTGGCAGTCTAAAGCAAACTTCGAAGCCAATGTAGGTATCCGAACTTGACTCGATCATGAATAGTTCCGGAGGTGTGCGACGTCGGGACCTATATGCGGATTAGCAACAAAAAACACGCTGACCACTGTTATCTGGATCGGCTTGCCATCAATAGCCGTATTCTTGTATTTCGCGCTGAACTCGTTGGCCTTTGCAGCACTAGCGTGAAACTAAATTAGGAATTGTAGGAAGGATTCGTGGCAAACCTCAGCCGTTCCGAGCGGAGTCCCATTCTGATCATAATGAACGGTGGCCGCACTGCCATTATAGGGAGAGATGAGCTCCTCCAAGTCGTCTTGGGTCACAAAGCGCGACAGGTTGTGTAGTAGGACACGTGCGCGTTCACGTCCCGATTTGGTTGGCGACATTTGTAGCTTCCGGGCAGAGCCGCCTAAAAAGCAATTACTAGTGATCGTCAAAATCCTAACGTGTTTTCGAAGAAGAAGCACTGGTTCCAGGACTGTGGTACATGTCGTGCTCCCAACGGCCCTCGATGCCACCACGACTGCTACGACCGCCTGAGCGTTGACGCCTAAAAACAAGTTACATCGGGAAATGGTAAAGTTTGGCAAATGGTTGGCAACAAGAAATATGACATACTTCAAAGCCCTATCTCGTCTCGTTATCTCGTCGAGTGTCTTGTTCACGTCAAAACGGTCGCTCGACTGCATGCTGGTAGGATGGATGGTCGGATGGAGGTTTTGCTGAAAAACCAGAAGAGAGAACGTTTCGCTCCGCGGGGCGAGGCCGACGCTGCGGGACCCGGCGTACAGCGGAGCGTAGCGGAAAAGCCTAAATATTGATTTTTGTGAAATAATTAAAAATTTTAAAATTTTAAAAATTCCTGATTAAAATAATTAGAAATGCTTTTTCTACGTTTCACGCTCGCTTCATTATTTTTCCCGTTTTGTAAAGCGTTTTGGATGGGGATGATGAAACCAACTCTCTTCTTTGCCACCTGAAGTCAGCCTGGTTTTTGCTGCCGACCAGAACGCAGAGACCGGTGATGCCGGAATCGCCTTCGGAGATAAGAAAACCCGACGGCTTCCCGGTCATTAGCTTCTGCGGCCTGGTATGGGGCGGCTCCTCGTGCTGTGGGCCTTTTTGGCGGTCGGGCTTGCCGACGAGCTTATCCAAGTCAATTTGGTATTCAAAAAACCCATTATTTCCAGCAAAATGTTTAGTTATACCGGCATGGAGACCGAACGCCGATTTACACCTATAAAGGCGACCCTAACGTGGATAAATGGGGGCTTCCGGGTGGAACGTTGACCACGGTTTTTTCTACACAGAGCATCAACATTTATTTAGACTGGGATGCAACAGCAATTCTTGCAAGGGCAACGGCTGAAGAAGCGGTACATTGATACTTTGAAGTTTATCAATGCCACCTATGATCCGACAGAGGTTTGCTCATACAATGTCTCCCTCAATTTTGGCTCAAATTTTCAGTTGTACGCTCGATCTGCTGATACGCCCAGATGCATTCAGTCGGCCGCGTCGAATTTGGCCGCTTTTTACAGCGGAAGCACGCTGCATCCGCAGATTGATGTAAAAAAAAGCTATAATAACGTTTTTTTTTTATTAAAGGAAGGGTGGCAACACGAAATTTAGGGTTGGCCAGTCAACTGGATGCCGTACCCTATTCACTCGGTCCCCGGGCCGGAAGACACGGTAGGCGAGAAAAAAACTACAAAACCGGTAACTTCATAGCTCGACGAGGAGGGCTCCAGCGATTGCAAACGCATCGGCCTGCTCAGAGGACGTCGGGAGAAGGATACTGGTTATGTGCAGTACCTTTTGAAAAACCAGGTATAATTACTGGCTGAAGAATTAATGCTGGAAAGCAGGATTTCCTGAATCAACTGACCACCTGGGCCGGGATGCCGATCAATGATGCGTACAGCATCAATAAGCTTTGGGATACGCTCTATTGTCAGGTAGCTACTTGAAAAGGCCTTCTTCATCAAAAGTTTAGCGCGCGCACAACATGACGATGCCGCCGTGGCTGAGCGACTCGATTTGGTCGAAGCTGAACGAGATGTTCGTCTACACCGACGATTATTTGGATGGAAGCGGTGCGTTGAGGAAAATAGGGTTATCAAAATAGGTTTTTTCGCTAATGTTATGATTAGCAGGTTTTTTAGGATTCCGGGGCGGGAGGGGGGAACCGAATTTTTCCTGCGAGTACAGATATGCCCAGTAGTCTAATATTAAGTGTTTTAACGACCTTTTCAGCAAAAGTTACCTTTAATTGAAGCGGAAAAGCTTTCAAGCGATTCAAAAACTGCTTAAGAATTTTTAAACTTTTGAATCTATATTTTTTGTATTTTTTAGCCAAAGTTTAAGAAAAGACATACTAAAAAACCTATTTAGCCGTGCCCGGGATCGGCAACAACGAGAACACGGAGCTGCTAGCGCTGCGGAGCGGCGAGTTGCTCGGCCAGATGCTGTCCAGCATGACGGATGCCGTCAACAACAAGCCGCACTGGAAATTCCATGTCTACTCGGCTGTGGGCCCAAAATTGGGCATCTAAATCCCTAGTTTTCAGCACGATTCAACGATCACCGCCCTGCTGCGCATCTACCACAATATGTACAGTGTGCTCGGGGTGAACAACCCGGGCTACGCGTCGCATTTGGTGCACGAGCTGTGGAAGGACACGAGTGGACAGTATTACGTTCAGGTCAGCACAAAAACGTTATTTTTTGCAGTTTTCGGATACAACTTTAAGATTTGCTGATATCCTTAACCAGCGTGGTTACGTCCGTAGCCTCCACTGAATCAGGCTGGCTACAAGCTACAAAGCTTTAGGTCCTATTTTCGGACGGGCCCTACACGGATTACCGCTCCATCACGTACACGCTCGATGAGTGCTCGCACTACGCGTCTGGATGTCCGTGGAAAATCTTCAACCAGGGCTACGCCTCCTACGTAATCCCCAACTTTTGGCAGGTAGTCGAACGCCTGGAAATCGCTTATGCACCATTTTTTAGCGCTGCGCCCAGACGAACTGAAGCCGCCGCACCAATGCAAATAAATATTTTGATTTTTGGTTTACGCATCACGCAGCGACAATACGAATTCTGGTGACGGAAAAGTGGAATTGAATATTCAATTTCCTTGAATAAATTAGCAAACCAGAAATTGAGCAAATTTAAATAACTTCAAAACTATGAAAATCGAAAGGACCATGAAGCGCAGTTACTTTCGTAGTAATGGACCCACGCGCCGAGCGGGCGATCGTCCGCGTCGACGAGACGGTCAACGAGCTCTTCTACACGGCCGCCCAGATCTACGAGCTCATCAACGAGAAGCGCTTCCTACCGAAGGGGCCCAACGTGCAGCTCGACCAGGATGGGTATGTTGTGGGGGATTTCGGGGCTAGCTTAAACTGCAGATAACCCTCACCCAGTCGACCCTAAACTTTTGTTTCTCGGCTCCCCGCTATGCTACAGCTCTGTAAAGTATACCAAAATGCTCAGGAGACCTAGACGAACATTTTGGTATACTTTACACCCCTATAGGTCAATGCGGAGTCGAGATACAAAAGATTCAGGCCGGCTGGGGTTGCTAAACTGCGCCTTACCGACATTTTACCGGTTTTAAAGCTTTTTATAGTGCAAATTAAAACCTTTCATGTTCCAGAAAGTACCGCACGCAGACGGTGTCCGTCGTCGAGCCGGCGAAGGACGGGAAACCGGGCGCGGGCGGATGCTGCTCCGGATGCAATTGCGGCGCCAGCGCCGCCGCCACCACCACCGCAGTGCCGTCCTCGCAGCGGCAGCAGTCGAAGCAGCAGCAGCAGAAGCTCGAGAAATGGAGCTATCAGCCGCCCCACCAGTCGATCGGCTACCAGGCCAGCCGTCAGTCGACCATCGCGGCTTCGGCCTTCTCGGCTTCCGCTGGATTTGTCGTTACAGAGGTAATGAATTCAAATTTAACGCCCCCCCCCCCCCCCCCCCCCGCTAACAGGCCAGTACCTCAAAATTCTTGAAGGTTTTTTGGTCCTGCACTGTTAGCGGGGGGGGGGGGGGTGCGGCAATTTTTCCCGGTAACCCGGACGACCCTTTAACAAACTTAAAGCATTTTCGACCGTTTTTGGATGCAAAAAGAAAATAGACAATTAAAGGAAGTTTCGAAACTCTCGTTGAAATTTATAAAAGGACCAAAAAGGAAAAATGTTCTAAATCTATATTTTTTTCAAAACACCGTAGTCTCCCGCTAATCCTGACCCCCCCGCTAATAGTGCAGTACCTGTTTCAGTCGGAACGGGAGCAGCAGCAGAGCCTTCTCGAGCCCCAGCCCGCCACCCGCGCCCAGACCAACTCGTGCCTGGTTTGTCACCTAAAAACCGGCGAAGCTCATGCTCACTCCAGAACTCGGAACCGTGCGGCCCGGAGGACTACGGACCTTGCAAGGCCCTCCGCCTCCCGCCACCCCAGTGCCCCCAGCCCCCAAAATCTGACACGGGCAAGCGGCAGAAAAAGCCGAAGCCGGAGCGCGTCTGCCGCCAGGAGATCGAGCTCAACAGCTCGCCCGAGGGATCCGAGGCCTCCGAGGCTGATGTTGATCCGGACTTGTCGATGAAGGGTGGCAAGGTGGGCGAGGTCGACATGTAATTACTTCTGTTTTTAGGCCAAAGTGTCGGTGAAGTACGCGACCTCGTTCCCGCAGCACGACAGCGAGAAGCAGCTGCAGATCGTCTTCAAGCAGGGGCGCGAGGACCGCGAGTTCATCAAGAACGAGCCGGTGAAGATGGCGCTGCACTATGAGATTGGCCAGAATCAGATGGTGCCCGGCACGGTGGGTGGAGACGAGATTCCGAAGCGGAACACAAAAACCTGTTCAGCTCGACGTCTCGTCGCCCGACTCGTCCGGCTGGGTGGCCGTCAACTACACGATCTTCAAGCCGAACGGCTCCCTCCTCTTCAAGCTGTCCACCCTGCTCCGCGGCGAGGAGGTGCGAATTTGCTGGCATTTTGGCGTTATCACCCTTGAGTATCAGCACCTTTCAGACGCAGAACCTCGAGGTGATCGCCCCGCCGTGAAGCCGTACTCCTCGCCCCGACGGCGCGCTACCGAATTCTACTTGTCTCGCCTCGCTTAAACCACTGCAAATGATGTCGAATTCCCTTTTTCCAATCTGTGTTGCGCTCGAATAAATGGCTTACTTGATTCATCGGATTTTTAGATTGCACTTTTCCTCATTGGTCTCTGCTAGCTCTCCTCAATGGTCTCTGCTAGCTCTCCTCAATGGTCTCTGCTAGCTCTCCCCAATGGTCGCTGCTAGCTCTCCTCAATGGTCTCTGCTAGCCCTCCTCAATGGTCTCTGCTAGCTCTCCTCAATGGTCTCTGCTAGCTCTCCTCAATGGTCTCTGCTAGCTCTCCTCAATGGTCTCTGCTAGCTCTCCCCAATGGTCTACTATTCCTCCTCCATCGGTCTGTGCTAGCTTACATCAATCCTTTGAATATCCCTCTACTTAACATCCATAAATTAGTATCTAGTACGATGTTCACATCAGATCAAATCCAGCTCAATCCCATACTTCCGGTTGTTCTCAGTGTGAGATGGCGGGGAGTTGATGTTTAGCTAATTAGCCTAGCCAATTCGAATGGAATTTTTATTTTTCTGCCCCAATGTTTCGCCTCGGCAGGTTTATCTTCCTGGTCAGTCGGCTGAATGTTGAGCATGCCCGCCAGTCGGAGGCGGACGTAAAACAAACTGAAACCCTTGGCAAAAAACCCTCAAAATCATGTGATTTTCAGCTTCAACTTGTCCTCATCTACTGGCCACCCGTCGTTGGTCAAGCATTCGATGAGAAGGAGGGCACAGATCGAGGAATTAAGGAATATCAGAGCCGCTAATTCAGCAGCTATCCCCGGACCCTCGTCATGCACGGGCCAGATTATAATGCTGCACGACGGGGAGCGACCAGATTTTGGCAAATATCCCAATCGAACGCTGATAGTCGGAGAAGCGACGGTCTATGTCAGACCAATCGCCGGCAGTTTGATGACGGTTCGACTCGAGGATGGTACCTTCATCCACCTCTGCAATCAAAACTTTACGATACCGCCCAACAGCAACCTCACCTTTTGGGACAAACCCGGCATGCTTGATTTTTATTGTGACGGGTGGCTCTCCGAAATTGAATGCGAGGCGGATGGGATGCCCTTCCCATGCAGCGACGGGATCAACGTGTTTTGCAAGCTGACCAGTGGGTGGACAACTACAACTACAACCACTACCACAACAACCACCACTACCACCACTACAACAACTAGGCAAGTAGATGTTCAGATATTCCATCAATATGCATCAATTTCAGTCCGGCTACTTTGCCACCCAAACAACGACGCCAACAAGCCGCATTTCTTCGTGCTGTTGTTCATCTTCACTATGGCTGCAAATCGACCCGACATTTGACGAGAAAATTCCGGCAGTTTTATTGGCGCTATTTCGGAATAGGGGACCCACTTTATTACTCTAAAAACCATTTTTTTCTGGTGTAGGTTTGCGCGTTTGTTCCGAAAAACGGTGTCCCAGCCCGTAAAAACGTACATTTGTACAAAAATATCTTATCTTTATAGGATGTCGTTAGGACATAAGACGGGAGGTCTTGGCTTGGCCAGCGCACTTGCTAGGCTACCCACTTGGGGTACTATATTTCTGGCTTGAACTTGACTTGACTGGAACACACATGCGCTAAGTATATGCTAAGTGTTGGAACACACACGCTTCCGTGTTTTAATAACAGCTTATACTTTACTTTCTTACTATTACCTTACTTTACGTGACAGGGGGCGGAGAGCCGGCCTAGTTTACAGGTGGGCTCTACTTAGGTTAACGTAAGTCAGGGTCGCCTAGGCTTGGTTCCAATGAATCTAAGATCGGGCTTACTAGCATTTAGCATTATTTATGCATACGTTTAAGGTTCAAAAACGGAGTTAGGAGTGTATTGTAGCCAAAAGTCGAGCCTGCGCCGCTAGGTTCCCTAGCAGCCCATTAAACTGTAATCAAATTTTTTTTGTGTGAAAATGTTAGGTTTTAAAGTTAGTATGGTGTTTATTCGGAACCAGCGCGCAAAACTATCCAGGAAAACATCGCACAAACCCCAGCTTTGGTATAATAAAAGTGGGTCCCCTATTCCGAAATAGCGCCGTTTTATTCATGGTTATAAAAGATGTTGATAAATATTGCTTTGGGCAAGAGAGAGGGGGGCGAGAGAGTGGGGGAGCGAGAGAGTGATAGAGAGCTAGATAGAAAGTGCGGACCGCCCTTTCGACTTGCTCAGGCCGTACAGGCGGCCAACTGTTGTCTCCTATCCGTCCTCTATCTACGCAGGCACCGGGGAGAGAGAGAGAGGGAGGGATCTAGGAGGGGATAGAGACAGAGCGAGACACACACAGAGAGAGAGAGAGAGAGAGAGAGATACAGAGAGAGATACGCGTCAGCCTTTTTTCCAATTCGAATACATTATTTGAATGCATTGTTTAGCCGAAGGATTAGATTTTAGCATTAGCATACATCACAGCATATTATTTCAGTTATTTTTTATTATCGTTATTAGCATACATTACAGCATATAAAAGGGATTTTTGTCTGTTCAATCACTTCTCATTTTCCGTCGACAGCCTTCGAATTCGAGCTTGACGATCGAAGACAAGATGATGGCGATGAGGATTGCTTCAATGGTTGGCTATTATTTGAAGCCCTGCAAAGTAATAATTGTTTAGGTGGCATTGCTGCTCTTCATCGTTCCGCAGCCGATCATCACCGACGAGGGGAATGAGACGGACAACCCGAAGGTGTTCAAGCCGCCCCGCACGAACGACCCGAAGATGACGCTGCTTCCCAAGAATAGCCCGCCTCCTCAAGTCCAAGACCACTCGCCGCCATCGTCCTCGCCGACGCCCTCTGGCAGTACGGCCCCACCATCACCCTCCACTGAAATCGTGAGTATCTACTGAAGCATTAATATTATTCTAATTGTTTGTAGGAAATCACCGACCCAACGGCCCCTACCGGCAACGACAAGAAGACCAACATTTCCGACATGGTCGGCTGCAAGAATTCGTCGCTTCCCGGAGACTGCCAGAACATCACGACGACGCCGCAGCAGGACGAGCCAGTGTCCACCCAGTTTTCTACTGTGGGTATTATTTTTTCAGTTTTTTGTTTGTTTGAACTCCCTGATGGCGTCGGCTTCTGTATGTCGGTATTTCGCTGAATTTTACCGTTTTTTTTCAGCTTCCGCCATCCGCATTCTCGACCACCGGCACAACAGACACGACAACAACACCTGAGGTGCCGTGCGAGAGCTGCTCGAGCCCGAAGAACGCCACCGAGCCGTCACCATCCACCACTACATGCAACGGCTCCCTCATCTTGCCTGGGAATGGCAAAGGTCAGCGGCTACCCTCAGGCGGAAGGGGGCGCCGGCAACGCCACCATTCAAGTGATCTACAATGGGACCATGGTCAAGCTGACGAACGGCAGCGAAGTCCACATCTGCCATCAAGTTTTCGTGGTTCCGCCGAGCAGCACCATCCACGTCGCGACGGCCAGCGATCGCATTGCTGTGCTCTGCAGTAGCAAGAATGAGCAACTGCGCTGTGACGGCTCGAACAAGCTCACTTGCGTTGGCGAAATCGAGGTCTACTGCAAGAAGACGCTCATGTCCGACGCCCCCACCACATAGTAAGTGCAGGGTATAGCAGAGACCATTGGGGAGGGCTAGCAGAGACCATTGAGGAAAGCTAGCAAAGACCATTGGCGGCTTCAATCAACCCCTTCCTTTTCAGCTCGACCGCGGCGCCCCCGACGTTCGACGGCGAGAAAGTCATCGTGGTGGTGGCTGCTCGTGGCCATCGTGCTCATCCTCACCGTCCTCCTCATCGTCACCACCGCCACCGTCTCCTTCTACATCATCAGGAAGAAGAAGGGCGTCAGGAAACAGAAGGGGAACGACCTCGAAGCGCTCCTGTCCAAGAACAACACGCCTGCCACCTCGAAGCCCACCACCACCTCAAGTGCAACGACGACACCCCAGAGCAGGGCCACCACGAGCAAGGCCACTCCGGGCAAGGCAACCCCGAGCATGGCCAGCCCGAGCAGGACCAGTCCAGATGCATCTTCATCAAAGGTTGGTCATCTAAAATCAAATATGCTAGTTTTAAAGCTAATTTTCAACATTTTTGGGTTCTTTTGCATTATCGGGGGGGGGCGTAAGGGTTTAATAAGGTTTTTAGTAATATCCCACTATCTTTAAAATAGAAAAACTAACTAACAAAAATGTTGAAAATTTTGACGAACAATCTAAAAATTTACAATTTTCAGGAGGATGCGCCGTTCGTTTTGCAGCCGGGCACTTTCAAGTATCACCGCGGATTGAAGCGGTTCAATGGCCACACTGGTCAATGGGTAAGTCGGATCGTTGAACGCCTTGAACTTGTGCTATTTTCAGACACACCGGCGGGAGCGCGAAGAGCAGGAGGAATGGAAGCCCGTCGCCTTCACCTGGGACGACGAGGGCCACGAGTACTGGGAGTTCGACGACGGCCCCGGAGTCGGCGATGAGGTGAGTTTTAGCAAAGCTATATTTAGCTATATTTAAAACTGAAAAAACTATCAAAAAAGTGATATAATATATTTTAAAATTTATGGTACTTAAACTATAAACTTAAATTTAAGTTAAAGTAACTTAAATTGAGTAATTAATTAAGTTATTTTGTTAATTACCTTAGTTAATTAAAGTCTCGTTTTTAGTGGGTCGCTCTGGAGGAGGAGGACGAAACCCAGCTCTCCGACTCCGAGATGGAGCGGCCGGAGCGGCACCTGCGGGCAGACAGGGACTGCCCGTCGTCCCTCACCGTCTGCGACGACGACGACGAGGGCGCGCAGGTTAGTGTCACACTCCCTTTAAAAAAATTTTGGACAAAAATCGATTCAAGCTATCCTTTTTCAGGCGGCGCAAAAGAAAATGAAGGCCACCCGCCACATCCCGGCCAAGTCGACGCACAACACCCGCGGCGCCCCCCCCCTTCTCGTCGTCCCGCCCGGCGCTGAACCCCCGACCGCCTCCAACATCTACGCCACCGTCATCTACGCCGTCATCCACATCAACACCGTCATCTACGCCGAACAACTCGAAGACAAAAGCACATCCCAGTCCCCTTTGTGTGTCATGTTTTCTATTCCTCATACTGGCCCCTCGCAATCCAAATGTACATATTTCTTGATGTCATTGTCGTTTCTCGTGTATTTTCGTGTGTCTACAGTGTCATTAATAAAGTATTTGGCTCGAAAGTCGAATGGAACCATCACAAATACAGGGTGACCAGTTGAAAGTGTATACAACTCGATATTGATAGAAATGGCCATAAAAAATTTCCTAAGCTGTTTTAAATCTTTTTGCTCATTGGAGGCAAGCAAAACCGGTAATAATAACAAAGTATCAACAGATTTTGGAGGTAGCTTCGGTTGGGTGCAAAATACAGCTTCCAAATTGTTGCTCGATGCGAGGAAAACGCTCGCCAAAAGGCCGCAACTCCAAGTCGGATACTTTGTTACGCCCTGAAGTACCCGAGTGCTTTAGTGGGCTCAGATTTTGATAGAATGTAAAGAAGGCTTCTGCCTATATCATACAAAATTATGGAAATTTTTGGACACAATTCCTTTTGACACGAAGCTTTTACGGCGACCTAGTCGGAACAAGAAATCGGCTGCTGAGCTAGGCTCGAACTAGTTTCGCTCGTAAAAAGTCGCGGGAAGCTTTCGTGAGGCCCCAAATTTTGTCCAAAGATGCGTGTTAGCATAAGGATACACATTATCAACATCAATAAGCTCATTAATCAGTCTTCGCCAGTTTTTGAGCCCAAAATGCCAAAAATCACGCCCATTTTACAAATTAAAGGGGCTCAGAAGTCAAAATTCGCGCGTGCGGGGATTGAACCTACGGGTCAAAAAACGAAAGAGTCACTGCCGAGGAGTACCACAAAACTGTTTTCGTTGCGAAAAAAACGTCAAATATTTGAGTAAAACCGAAATGTTCTCGGGGCGAAAACGAGTTTTTGAGTGTGCGACGATTACATGTCGTAATGCCTCGTAAGGCACCCAATCTCTCGATCTCGATGATTCTCTGGTCAATTTTCATAATTTAAAAGTCTGGAATGATCAAAATTCGGTGAAGATTCCAAAAATAGCATCAGAATTTTTAAATTCAAGAGTTTTCGGGTCCAAACGGGGGCAAAAAGAGCATGCGGCGCGGTCGCGTTGCGGCCGCATCTGGCAATTTGCCAGGAATCACAGCAGGGGGGCCGTGGACCAGATTTCGGAGCCCCTTTAAGGTCAAATTAAATCTAGTTTCGAGATTTCAGTATTCTGAACGGTTCGAAACTTACTTCCCATTGTTTCCAACCGAAATAGATTATTCCAAGCACTGCCGATGGCCCCAACAAAATTTTGACTGAGTTTTAACACTGCAATAGCAAGCCGGTGGGAGCTGCGGCCCACGACCTCATAATGAGCCTCCCTTCTGAAGCTCTATTGAGAAGCACAGAGCAGCCAACTTAAAACCCGATAAATAGGTGATGATCTAACTCATAATCTTTTGTTTTATTCATCAGAAAAGTTTGGGTTCAGCTTCTGTCAACTTGTAGAGGTAAAAGTTTTGTATACACTTTCTACTGGTCACCCTGTAACTTGCATTCTACTCAAAGTGGGTAAAGATTGCTTAACGGGGGGGGGGAGAAATAACGGGGGTGGAAATCATTTTTCCCCTATAGGGGTCTGTCCGCTCTCCTCAATGGTTTCTGCTAGCTCTCCTCAATTGTCTCTGCTAGCCCTCCTCAATGGTCTCTGCTACCTCTCCTCAATCGTCTCTGCTAGCCCTCCTCAATGGTCTCTGCTAGCCCTCCTCAATGGTCTCTGCTAGCTCTCCTCAATGGTGTCTGCTAGCTCTCCTCAATGGTCTCTGCTAGCTCTCCTCAATGGTGTCTGCTAGCTCTCCTCAATGGTCTCTGCTAGCCCTCCTCAATGGTCTCTGCTAGCTCTCCTCAATGGTCTCTGCTAGCTCTCCTCAATGGTCTCTGCTAGCTCTCCTCAATGGTCTCTGCCAGTTCGCATATTGTCTCGATGCATCGATGTATTTGCCTGCAATTAGCCGCTCGACAGTGGCTTTTTATTGCTGAACCTGAAAGGGCGCAAAAAATGAAGAAAAGATCAGGAAATGGGCGGATAACAAGGGGGGGCGATTGATCTATAGATCGGCCCAGCCCCGCGATTTGTCCTTGGCTCGGCCCATCAATGTCGGCGCGCACTGGTAACGACGCTGGGAATCTATCCGCTTTCTTCGTCTTTTCCTCGATTTTCTTTTTTTGATTTTTAAGTTTTTTGATGCAAAGATTCAGGCAAGGTAGCAGCTATCATTGAGGAGAATTGATGAAATATTTTTTATTAGCTTACGCAAAGTTTTTGAAAATGATGTTCCATATCTCTCTCTCTCTCTCTCTCGCTCTCTCTCTTGGTCTCTCTCGTCCTCTTTTATATTATAATTCTCACACTTTTCTATTTCTCTATCCCTCTCTCTCACTCTCTCTCTCTGTCTCTCTCGCTCTCTCTCCACCTAAATTCATATCCCAGATGACGGTCCCCTATCATGGGGATGTGGCCAACGTCTCGCTTGGCTCATGGATGAAGCTGGTCTTCAGATGGAGGGGCAGTGTCTGGAAATCAGGTACGAAACGACGAATGCACTTAAAACTATGCTTTCCAGTACTCACCGAACTTCTCATCTGGCTCGGCTGCTACTACGTCACCATGTTCATCTACCGCAGCGATCTCGTGCTGTCCCACCGTGGCCAAGAGTCGGTACAACTACCGTATCCCTCCACCTACACCCATTTACAGGAGCTTCGAGCGGTTAGTGGCCCATGTGAATGCGAGGGTGTCGAGGATTCCGCTCACTTTCATGCTCGGCTTCTTCGTCAGTCAGGTGGTGGACAGGTGGCGGCAAGTGTTGCTCAATATGGGATATATTGAAAAGTTAGTGATTTACAGGGTTTAATTTGAAGGGCTAGCTAGCAGAGACCACTGAGGAGAGCTAGCTGAGACCATTGAGGAGCTAGAAACTACTTTTTCCAGCGCTGCCCTAACGGCGGCGTCCCTGGTGAGGGGTAACGACGAGAGGACGCGCATCATCCGCCGTTCCATGGTTCGCTATCTGGTTCTCTCGCAGGTGGGAAAAGCATCGTTTTCGACGTTCAAGCTCTTAACTGACCTGTCCCTCCAGCTCAAGCTCCATAAAAACTCATGCGCTTCTTTAGGTGCTGGTCTTCCGGGATATCGCCATTTCGGTGCGGCGGCGTTTCCCTACGATGCGCTCCATCGTACAGGCTGGTGGGTGTTCTCTCTCTCTCTCTAACTCTCTCTCTCTCTCATCTTTCTCATCCTGTTTTTCAGGGTTCCTCCAAGACCACGAGTTGGAAATGCTCGAAAAAGTGAAGCTCGACGACAACTACAACAAGTACTGGGTGCCGATAAATTGGGCGTGTGCGCTGTGCTTTAAGGTATGATATACGTAACTTTTAAATTTATAAAAATTTTTTTTGTTGATTTTAGCTCCGCGACATCAGCCAACCAAACCAGGACCCGAACGTGCACGGGTTGATGCACGTCAGCCATATGAATTATTTGCTGAATGTAAGCGTCTCTTCCTTTGTCTCACTCCCTCGCTCTCTCTGTCTCTCTCTCTCTCTCTCTCTCTCTCTCTCTCTCTCTATCTCTCTGATGCACTTCTTTTAGGAATTCAAATTCTTCCGCAACAACCTCCAGACCCTATGCAATTTCGACTGGGTCCCGATCCCACTCGCCTATCCACAGGTATCCTAGCGTAGCCTACCGTACGACTCTTAGATACCTACCTACAATACCCCAAATATCGATTTTCAGGTCGTGTTCCTGTCGGTGCGCGTCTACTTCCTCATCTGTATCGTAGGCCGTCAATTTATCGTCGGTCAGGATAGCCCGAATCGCACCCAGGTAAAGTTGTATGCTTCGCAAAAAGACACTTTGCTCCTTTTCCAGATCGACCTGTACTTCCCGATGATGACGGTCCTTGAGTTCATCTTCTTCGTCGGGTGGATGAGGGTAGGGATTAGAGAAATCGAGGCAGGGAGAGAGAGGAACGGCAAACTCTAGGTGGCCGAGGCGCTGCTCAACCCGTTCGGCGAGGACGACGACGATTTCGAGTGCAACTTTCTTATCGACAAGAATATTGCGGTTAACAATAGCCGACAACCTTGAATTTGCAACTTTTCAGACGGGTCTGGCCATCGTCGACGCCTACGACGAGCACCCGGTGCTGAACATGGATCAGTTTAAGGCGCTCTCAAGATTTTGTGGCTGTCAAAGGCAAAATTTCAGACTCAGCAAGGCCCAATCTACTCTGAGGAGAGCCAGAAGCATGGTCATCACCAGAATGTGCTTGTCGGATCGGTGGCACAGGTCAAGTAAGTGGGCGGCTCTATGTCTCTTTAGCTATCTCTCACTCTACAACTCTCTCTCTCTCTCTCTCTCTCTCTCGCGATCCCTTTATCTCTCATTTTCTCGCCAGTTTCCGATAAACCTAAAATCTAAAATCGAAATCTTAAGATATCGCCCAAAAATCCCGATTTTCAGCCTAGCCAAACCCGACGACGACGTGAAGATGGTCGAGCTACAGCCCCTATCCGCTGCCCCATCTACCGTAATTTCGGTCCAGGCCGTGAAATTATAATTTTAGGAATCCGTGCCCACATTTGCCCAGAGCTTCATGTCAAATTTGCGGCCTCGCAAGAAGACGCGCGAGTTTAGCCTGCGACCGTGGGTTTTTGACAAAATTTCTCTCTCTGTCTCTTGCACTGTCTCTCGCTCTCTCTCTCCCAGCTAAAACCCACGTTCCAGGGCCCACCGCGTCCGCTCGCACTCCACCAACTTTGCCCCGGTCTCCCCGAATCCGACCGAATCCCCCAAGTACAGCTTCTGCTCCCCGACGGCGTCGATAGGAATGTCGCGGTACCCGTCGCAGGTCTCCCGATATCACTCGTCGACGGAGGGACCGTTTGATATATCTTTTGGTGAGGAGAGGGTAGGCGAGAGAGAGAGAGAGCAAGCGATAGCGAGAGAGAGAGAGTGTAAAGAGCGAGATAGAGCAAGGAAAACCATTATTTCGATCAGCTCCCTCGGTTCTGGCCAACGACGTGGTGCACGAGGTGGACCTCGAGGAGGAGGACGTCAGCCTAGGCCGATCAAAGGTGAGAAAGGGAGAGAGAGAGAGAGAGAGAGCGAGAGATAAACTTCAGGCTGATTTTTAGCACTTCAAACCCCACCACATCGCCAGCAGGATCAGTGAAGTCAGCGAGGAGGACCAGTCGCCAGTTGCCGAAGAAAAAGTCGGGGTTTTTTCTTTTTGCTATTACTTAAACGTATAAAATTGTATTTATTAGTAATAAATTAGTACAAAAGATCTAGAATTATTATTATATTTTCAGTTCGCCCTGTCGCTGGAGAAGATCTCGGAACGCGGGTCGGTGGAACAGCTGAAGAAAGAGAAATAGAGAAATTCAATAAATGATTGGAATCCCAGGCTGGGCCAAACCTCTCTCTCTCTCTCTCTCTCTCTCTCTCTCGCTGTCTCTCTCTCGCTCTATCTCGCTCTGGAATGTTGACCTTAAATGCACCCGAAATTAACGGCATGCGAAGAAAGCAAAAGAGGGAGAGAGAGAGAGAGAGAGGGAGCGAGAGAGAGCAAGAGAGGTGTGTTTTGGTTGGGTCATAACAAGGACATCTTTCCGGGCGTTTAGCCCGGCTTTTCCTAGGTGATTTTGGCCACCTCCCCCAATCAGCTTCCTCCCCTGGCCCCAAAAATTGGTCAACCGACACACGCGAACCGGGTGAACCCAAACTTTCACCTTTTCCAGACTACGTGACACTACCAGCACTTTTTTCAAGTTTCTGGTTGTAAGCTGCTTCTTGCTACCAGGCTAGCAGAGACCATTGGGGAGAACTAGCAGAGACCATTGAGGAGAGCTAGCAGAGACCATTGAGGAGAGCTAGCAGAGAACATTGAGGAGAGCTAGCAGAGACCATTGAGGAGAGCTAGCAGAGACCATTGAGGAGAGCTAGCAGAGACCATTGAGGAGAACTAGCAGAGAACATTGAGGACAGCTAGCAGAGACCATTGAGGAGAGCTAGCAGAGACCATTGAGGAGAGCTAGCAGAGACCATTGAGGAGAGCTAGCAGAGACCATTGAGGAGAGCTAGCAGAGACCATTGAGGAGAGCTAGCAGAGACCATTGAGGAGAGCTAGCAGAGACCATTGGGGAGGGCTAGCAGAGGCCATTGAGGAGAGCTAGCAGAGACCATTGGGGGGAATCTATCAAAAGACACGTTCCTTGACTTCTCTTTTTCTTAAACCCGGCGGGATGACCCCGCGAATCAAATGAGACGACGAACAACGCCAAAAAGCGCGGGAAGGGGAAAAAACGGAACCGAAGAACAGAAAGCTGAAGACGTCGCGACTCGAAATGAGATTCGACCCCCCCTTGACACCTCCTTCCCCCACGCATTTTTTGCATATGTTACTCGGAAATCTTTGAACTCGAAATTTGATTAATATTGAAAATTAGTTAGTCCTGGAAATATACCATTAGACTTGCGCGTTCCTTTAAGAAATACCCCCGCCTCGGATTGCCCGATAGGGATGACGATGGATGGCCGATAGCCCAACACACTGCTACTAATTACAGGAAGCTTGGAGCGAGAGGGCCCTCGAGGTCTTTGGGCCCTAGTCTTGGGCCAAGGCCTGGGCCCTAAGACCCCAACACACCAATCCCTTTTTGCAGTTGTGGAACACCGGCCCTTCAGAATTCCCCTCCTATGCTCGGGCCATTCATCTCCCGCACACGCCATTTGTTTCCGCCCGTAGTCTGCGGGGCCCTGAACTTCCATTTTTGGAAAAACTGACCAAAGAACGCGGGGGGAAGCCCCTGGATGCATACGGTACTAGCTCTCCTCAATGGTCTCTGTTAGCTCTCCTCAATGGTCTCTGCTAGCTCTCCTCAATGGTCTCTGCTAGCTCTCCTCAATGGTCTCTGCTAGCTCTCCTCAATGGTCTCTGCTAGCTCTCCTCAATGGTCTCTGCTAGCTCTCCTCAATGGTCTCTGCTAGCTCGCCTCAATGGTCTCTGCTAGCTCTCCTCAATGGTCTCTGCTAGCTCGCCTCCAGAATCCAAAACATAGCGTCAAAAGCGCAACATCCCCATTCCTCGAATTTCTAGCCGGGGCGCCAATTTTCATTTGGGCCCTCCCTCGTGGGGGGTTGGTTTTTTGTTATGTCACCTGTCTAAAAACTTTCTGGGCGCGTCGCGTCGCGGTTCGGGTGCGTCACGGTTGCGTCGCCTTTCGGCCGGTACCTTTAAAGGGAGCGTGACAGCTGGGATTTTGGCAGAAAAAGGTTCGCGTCACGTTTGCGTCGCGGCAGAGACTTTTTGGAAAACCCGAGCGTTGAATACATTATGACATCAAATTCCCCACGTCCCGACCCCTTTAAACCCAAAATTCCACCAATTCCAGACGTCTATTTCCGGCGTAACTTCATTACCTACCCCCACCCGCAAATTACCCTATTAGTGCATCGTTTTCCGGGCCGTTATTCGGAGGCCGGTTCGACTTAATAATTCCCCCCTCGATTTCCGGAAGGCATTTACCTTTCGCCCTATAGTGTCTCAGCCGGAAATTGGGCCCCCCACCTTCCCCCCACAACGCCCCCAAAAAGTGCACATCACATGAGCACAGGAGGCTCTTTTTAGAAATGCGCCCCGCCTACAGTAATCTTCGCGAAAATACATTATTTTATGGCTATAGAATGGTCGGGTTTCTATGTAGATTCGAGTCCAGCAATTTCAAGTTTTTGCAAACGTTCCGGGGGTATCGTCGCGGAACTCTCAGATGTTTATTTAGACCCAATATCCGCATTGAAATCTCGGTTCCGCGACGCTCCGGCTACGTGTTATTTAAAAAAACTATGTTACCTCTTTCTCCCTCTCTCTCTCTCTCTCTCTCTCTCTCTCTCTCTCTCTCTGTCTCTCTGTCTCTTTGTTGCTCTGTTTCTCTGTCTCTCCCCTCTCATTCTGCTCTGTCTCTCGCTCTCTCTCTCTCTCTCTCTCTGTCTCTCTGTTTCTTTGTTTCTCTGTTTCTCTGTCTCTCCCCTCTCATTCTGCTCTGTCTCTCGCTCTCTCTCTCTCTCTCTCTCTCTCTCTCTCTCTCCATCTTTTTCTGTTTCTCTGTCACTCTGTCTCTCTGTCTCTCCCCTCTCATTCTTCTCTCTCTCTCTCTCTCTCTCTTTCTCTCCATCTCTCTCTCTCTCTCTCTCTCTCTCTCTCTCTCTTTCTTTCTCTCTTTCTCTGTAACTTTCCCTTCAACGCACCATTAAAGCGAGCAAACTTCAAGCTCACCCTCCGGGGGCCCTCCACTCCTCGATTAGGGCCCCCAAACGGCGCCCGAGGCCAAAGTTGAATCGCGAGGGCCCCGCATTCGGAGAAGGGCTTAATAAGACCAAAAAGTTGGCCCCAATCGAGTGGCCCTTTTCGGCTGGGCCCGCATTTCCATAAACAGAATTAATCGGGCACTGCCGGCGGGGAATTTGATAGTTTTTCAGTGTTTTCTCTCTCTATTCTCTCTCGCTCGCTCTCTCTTTCTCTGTCTTTCTTCCTTTGCGAAGTTTAGAAAGCTTAATCTGTTACGGCACCAATTTAGAACAAGTTTCGCATTTCCCAGCCCTTCCTAACCTGCTTTTTATCTTATTACGCCAGCAAATTCAGCGCCCAGCTGCCTTCCACGTACCTTTAAAGGTCAGCCTTGGGCTGACGCTCCCCAAAAACACAGCTTTTCCCAGGCCTAAACCCCCGCTTCCTCCTGTTTTCCTCATTCCGACACGTTCACCCCGGCTTCCAGCAATTGACTAGGATATTCACGCATTAATGATACCTATTTAGCAGCCGGCTGCTAAATAGGTATCATTAATGCATCGTGGTTCCGGCTTGGCATGTCCTGATTGCAAGGTCTTCCCCAGAGAATGGCGAGCTTCAGATCGTTTCATTAGTGCATCGAACTCTCCCTGATAATTCCGCAATTCCAAATACCGATTGCTAAAATGCCGACAACTAGAATTTCAACCGGAATAATACCGACACGAAAATCACGCAAGTAAAATCCTGCGGGAACAAAATACCGACAGCCGAAATCCGGCAGGATGATCATGATAAGGAATTCCTGGGAGAGCAAAATACCTACAGCCATAATACCGACAGCTGAAATTCTGATAGGGCAAAATGTCGACAGCCACAATCCCGACGCGACGCAAATAACCCGCACAAAATCCAATGAGTTTCGACATTCTGGTCTGTCGGGATTTCGGCATGCCGGATTTCGAGTGTCGGCATTTCGCTATTTCTCAATTTTGATACATGAGAACGCAGGTTGGGCCTTTGACTTATCAGGGTTAAGCTCAGGCTTAGGCTTACTCAGATTCCAGCCTCATTTTTGCGATTTTTGCTATGCAATTATGGCTCCGAGCGCAAGGTGATCCCGACCCGCATTTTTTCGCTTCCAACCAACCTGGTTTTGGGTTCCATTTTCGGCCCTACTGCTTCGTTATTCTGCATTTTGCACAAATTTCACCTGGGACCCAGGCGTGGCCTGTGGACTTTATGACCTCGGGGGCCAAATGGCCCAAAATGGCCGCTGCTCAGTTGCTTTTTGGTGTTATTTCTAAGAGAGCGAGAGGTAGAGAGAGAGAGAGAGAGAGAGAGAGAGAGACAGAGAGAGAGACAGACAGAGCTTACATTTTCGGACAGATTTTTGAGTATTCTGAGGCTCCCGAGGGGATCGATGACCTCCCCAGTTGAAAGCCCCCACTTATCAAGGGACCCCTCCCGTACATATGTCCATAGGAGCGCCGGGGAAAACCCGATTTTACTCGTGGGTCCCTTCTGAATGGAGCCTGAGGGTCAAAGACCTGGTACGCTTATCGCAGTGGGAATCTGGTCATAGGAGTGTCGCGGAATTTCTGCGGCTTGCTCTCTCTATCTCTCTCTCTCTCTCTCTCTCTCCTCTTCCGAAAATCCACAGACGGCCCTTGCCCACCCCCTTGAAACTTCTTCACCCATTAATGCGTCGACAAGAAGGCCTGGCAAAAATCTGTAAAGGTTTGTTCGCGTAGCCTAAAGACTCTGGGATAGGGCTGGGGGCGGAAATGGGTATCCGGGGGTTGAGGGTGGGGGTGATGGCGTGTCGGAAGTGGTGCTAGACGGGGGGTCTCTACTTCTTTTCTTCATCTGAAGACCTCCTTCCCGTTCTCCTAACAAAAACACGCCGTCTCTCTCGCTTTCTCTCTCTCTCTCTCTCTCTCTCTCTCTCATGTTTTTCGAACGGCTTGAGCTCCCTGGGATTTTTGACTAACCCATGTGACCATCAAATCTTTGGACGGCCTGCCGTGCCCGTTAACGATGAAGAATGAACTACGCACTGCTCCTATTGACGTCCCTAATTTGCAC